CATTTACAGGCTGCACCCACTGCTGACAAGTTATGACTGATGTCTCTCTCTCTCTCTCTCTCTCTCTCTCTCTCTCTCTCTCTCTCTCTCTCTCTCTCTTTCTCTCTCTCTCTCTTTCTCTCTCTCTCTCTCTCTCTCTCTCGATACAGACAGAGGCACAGACAAGACCGACAGCATTGAGATCTGTTATTAAATCTGTTTACAAGTCACCAGATCTGCATGGTTTGGTTTTGTTGCACCGTGCTCAGCTGATAGTGCGTGTATGCGCGCAAGCTGGAGTTTATCTACCCCACTTGATGATTATGTTGGTGTAGTTTTCTCCAAAAGGTAGTACAGTTCATAACTTGTATAATGATATAAAAATCCCTTGATTGTATTAATAAAGTATTTAAATGGGGGCACTGTGTGCTCAACCTGTGCGGAGAATATAGTCAACGGAGGGTTTATGCAAATGTGCCAGCTCTGGGTCGGGCTGATGAACCTGCTAAAAACGTTTTGGCTCTGATCCCATCCGGGTCGACCAAAACAGCCTAAAAATAAAATTGTCATTTTGTATTTGTGCCACAGCTGTCCCAAACCTGTGCACCACCATCCGCTCTCCAGATCCTCACTGACGGGTTGTGGAGAAAGAAAGAAAAAACAGCCCCATGGTCCTTTTTACAGGTCCGGGCCAAATGATCACCTATATTTGGCCCAGAGCAGATAACTTTTGCTGTCAGGGTAGACAAATAATTTCGCAGAGTTTTTATATATTAATTAATTAATTAAAGGTAAAGGTGCTTTATTTGTCATCAGTGTATGTTTCCACACAATGACGAAATTTGTGCTCTGCATTTAACCCATCCACACCCAAGTGGAGCAGCGGGCAGCCATGTGAGGCGCCCATGTGAGACGCAGATATTAAAGAAGTTCAAACTCTGTTATAGCTGTGGTTACAGAATAGAAACCATTTGCTCCAAGCTCTTAGAAACTCCCTGATCAGTATGAAATCATCAAAAGTACCAGTTTGACACTTCTTCACAGAATTTTTCAATTTGCAATCAGTCTGCAGGCCTGTGTTGTTATCTTATCCTCATATGCTGTGTTCAAAACGACAGGCCGGGTCCTCCGGAGGACCCAGACTACCAGGTTGCGGCGGGCCTGGTCCTTGGTAGACCGGGAAGACCGGAAAAAAAGAGGCTGTGAATTTGGACAGTCTAGCCTCTCCACTTTACCCTGGCGTACGTCATGTCACCTAGCAACTGTGACGACGCTAAACAAGCAAACTTAAATCAAAATTTGAAAAATATCAATACATTAGCATTATTAATATCACAAAACTATAAAATTAACTTAAAGGTATCATTTGAAGAACTAATCGACCCGCTGTAGGGTCATGTTTATTTCGCGTTTTTTATGACAAAAATAATATTTAAAAGCATGTCCATACAAATGATAAAAGTATTAGAATTACAACCGCTGATTTTTAAAAAAATTTTTATATCACCATATTTTTTTTATTTAAAATGTATTCTTTTCTCTCGCTTCGTCCGCCATTACTAGCATAAAAAAAAATCTTCTGTCGGGCCGCAATGCATTATGGGATACACTGGGCCTGGAAGGATCCATCAGACCAGTCCTTCGATTCGGGCCAAAGGAAGGACGTATTTGTCGGCCGCATCGGAGGAGTCTTCGGTTTTGGATGGCCTTCGTCGCAGCGCTGTGACGTATGCGACCGACAAATTCGGCCTTCGGAGGACCCGGCCTGCCGTTTTGGACACAGCCATAGTATAGGCCTACTATAGATTTTTGTTCTTTACTGTAAAAGATTGTGTTTTTTTATTTACCTAATTTCTCACATAGTAAAGAATTTTATTTTTATTTCCATGTATTCTCGGTTGGAATATTTCATTTGTCAGGCACAGTCTGAAAAAAAGAATGTAATCAAAAAAATTAGTATCAAAGAATATCTGCTTCTCGATACATTTTTTTGCAAGAGGGCAAATTTGACTACAAACGGCACTGGCATGTAAGCTATGTACAGTCATAGGCTACAATGACAAGCAATGGTGCACTGATTCACACATGAGTGCTGTATTTTGTATTTTGTTGTCCATTATGTAATGATTGATTGGAGGTGCTCATACACTTGTGTCAAAGTTGAGTTGTTTGAGGTAAAATTAGTTTTTCTTCCATATTTTAAATGTTTGGCACAGTTAGTACCTTTTGCAAACAAAATGCGTCATTTTGACCTCTGCGGCACTGTTTAGGCCTCTGCATTAGCTGTTTTGAAAATGTGGATTTTGAGTTGACAGCTGCATCAAAACAATCAATAAAAACTGTAAATACAACAACTTTAGAAACAGCAAAACATCAGGCTTTAGATGTTGAATAAACTCAGAGCTGGACCTGCCTATAAGCAAAATAAGCGGCTGCTTAGGGCCCCGCGGCCACTGGGGGGCCCGAGACAGAAGCATGGCAAACTGAACTAACCATAGAGTTAACACTGAGATGGGCGTAATGGATGCAGGGTATGAGTGGGACGTGTCCCCCTCACTTTCCGTATCTGTACCCTCTGTCCCCCGCATGTTTTTTAACCTTTACAACTGTTTAATCTGCTATTAAGATGCAGTAACACGTTTTTCCGAGCACCCTATAAACGCACCATGAGAACGCGGTGCCGGGTGAACATCTGTGGATCATGGACGGGTGCAGAGCTGGCTAGCTGTGAGTTCTGGAGGATAAGAACGGACGGTGTTCTGTCGGGTCAGACGGCTGCTACACACCCACTTGTGTTTTTGTTCTTTTACTCATAAAATGCTGCTGGTACTGACGCTGCCTTCACAGCAGCTGGTGGATGAAACTAACGTTCAATGAGTGACCCCTCCTAAATTGAAAAACAGAAGAAGAAAGGTGAGACTTGGTTTATGAGTTAAAATTACTTAATAATGACCTGATATTTATGAAAAGTTGCTTATTTAATAGTCTTTTAGGAAATAATTAGTATTTTTTTTTTATCTGTAGATTGTAATGTTAGTTTTGGTTAATAGGCCCATCAGTAATTTTTTAGGTGATTATCATAATTACATCTGTTTATTGGGTAAAATTATTAATATTCTCATTTTTAAACATGTAGTTGAG